TTGTCCTCATCTTTGTCGCCATATTTATTACAACGTTTCGGCCGTTGTACGCTACAGCCTTCTCCAAGCGGTTGGAATGTCGAAATGAATCCTTTATTTTGCTCACTGGGGTAGACTGTACTCGTTCCACGTGCCATGTTTTAATGGATGTCAGTTATCAGTTATCTCCTGTTAATTCCCTTCTCCAAGTTTTCCACTGCCTTAACTGGGTATTGAACTCACACTCTTTGGGTCCTGTCAATGAATCTAACCAACGTCTTTATCCACTGTGCCATGTGTCCTTGAGGGCAACGGCAGAAACATAATAAATATGGCGACAAAGATAAGGACAATAGTCCGAATAGTGTACATAATACTTCATCTCAGAAATATAGACAGATACTGAAAGACCGAAACGTTGGAATAAATATGGCGACAATAATGAGGACAATAGTCCGAATAATGTAAATAGTACATGTGTACATTTATTATTAATTTTATCCTTTCTCTTATTACCTTTTAAAATGATCTTTTTCTTAAATCGTTAATTTTAAGATTGGAACCAGGAAGTCTGTATCATCTCTACAGAAACTCATGTCTCCAAATTTCGTCCTTCATAGATTATATTTTACCACAAGTCTAGAGGAAGATAGTCTTTTAATAATTCCATTATTCCTCTTTCCGATTATTTCCTACTATTTTATCATTTAGGAATCGGGGAGCTTATAGCAGATGTATTCATATTTAAAAAAATGAACTAATGATTCTTGTTTAAAAACTCTGTGAATTGTGGTACGTTCTGTCTTTTATAAATGTGATGGCATTGAAATAAGCAGGATGCTTGAAAAGTAATTCCCTATTTTATATATGATGGACTCTTCCCTCTTGTAAAAATTATAGTTAGACAGGCGAGTCCATTATACATAAAATATTGAGTTACTTTTCAATCACCTTGTATATTTGTAGTTATATTTATATCCCTGTGTTTCACGACTTGCAGTTTCCTGTTGACGCTCGATTTTTTCATGGTCAGTCATACAATCGTCAGTCGGTTGAAAAAGACAGGAAAATGGATTTTAAATTTAGAATAAATAAACTGCAAATTGCGAAAGACAATAAAATACAAGTATCTTTTATATATTTAATTTTTGTATATTACTCTGTAGATTTTTTTTACATTCAGCTTTTATTTTTATTTATTTATTTATTGTATAAAACGAGATATATGCCGCGATCATTTGCATATGGATCAGATTTTTGTCTGGAATTATATCTTTTACTAGATTCATATATCGCTGCGATCTGCTAAGAGTTTTTCATTTCATATATATATATATATATATATATAAGGAACAAGTAGGAAATGCTTATAAATTCATTAGTACCACATAAAAACAAAACTGACTCTAAATTCGATTTAAAAAAGATATCTGAATAAAACAAATACAATACAAAGAAAATAAAAATTAATACCGTATTTCTCGTATGCTAAGATTCATTGCTTCCTGAAAAATTCCTAAAAAATCACCCTGTGTCTTATCACTTGATGGTCAAGTTTTAAATAGAAGTTTCCCAGACCTCACACTGCCTTTTTTTCTTGGATTTTGTTTTAATGATGGGGTACAGATAAATGCACTGTAGTTCGTTCCGACTCCCAAAAATTAACAAAAAACAGCTAACACCTCCCTCTGTGTACAAAATACTGCATTTATTGTACTCACTGTTTTACTAAATTAGGTCATGTTAATGACTAATAAATACAAATGGATAGACGATACTATATTCATAGACTAATAGTGGTCACTGTGGCAGTAACCATTCAAAAGCAACAAACAGTTTGTGCACTTCAAGTCATCCTTGAAACAACAGCTTGGAGTTGGATGTAAACACACCGTGTGTTTAGCGGTTAGTATGTGTTTCCGATATGAATAGGTATGATATTGTACTAAACTATTGAAAATATAGCTAATAAGAACCACAATTATCTAATAGGTCCAAAAAGAGCTAATTTGACAGAAAAAGCAATCTGTGGAGTCGGTGACTTGGACGGTAAGCTACTCTATATATTATTTGAAAAAAATATCTAGCTAATTATAGGGTGCGTCTTACCATACAGGAAATACGGTAATCAACATATAAAAATTACCTACCAGACGCATTTCTTTGTATCACCAATATCTATAAAATGTATACTCAAAGAATTTATAATCCATGTATATGAAGAAAATGTGACCTAATACTACCCATTTCCAAAATGCGTCATTGTATACCCATTTTTAATACCCACTTAAAGTTAGCCATCATTCTAAACATTAAACATTCACATCGTCGTGTGATATTTCTGATGAAGCTAGGTAAATATCGAAACCTCAAATTTATAAAGATTTACCTTCTTGTTCCTTCTTTTATGATTGTCGGATTTAATCCATATTTTCAACTTATGTATGTTAACTATTATGGTTACTAGGCTTGTAGCGAATGAATAATTAATCAATGTGCTTGATCTTGTTAATATTTCAGTGTCTGTTAACATCATCTTCAAAATCTGAATAAATTGCCAAGAATATTTGTTTGTTAATTGCATAATTCTTTTCTTTTAAGCCCGTTTTTCGGAATTGTCTTCAATGTTTGATGTACTATTTTTGTTATCCTCAGAAAATATATCCGAGGTACTGCCCAAAATTTCGGGGACATTTCAGATGCGAAAAGAAATCGTAAAAGAAAATGATAGAAAATTAAGTAATGTCCTGGTGGACTGATTTCAAATGATCATCGAAATGTCCATCGAGACACGGGAAACTCTGAATGATTTGTACCAAATCTATTTGATGTTCTCGACTTTTTGGTAGTACCTCATTAATCCACACACACACACACACACACACACACACACACACACAAAGGTGTCCCAAAACTGTATACACACTTTGAATGCTTAATGCACTGAACCGTAAGGCATATCTTAGTTTTAACATTCAAATTAAAGACACATGTAGAATTAATTTCATTTGTTTCAAATGTCTGATCTGATGGCTGTTTTGGGACAGGCAACGTATTCCATTAGAATAGCATGTATAATGAATAATTTTATTTAGTATTTAGATATGTTATTTTTCAATGGGGGTCTTAAATCTTTTGCTTGTTAGGTAGGTTTGGTGCATTTCCCACTTTTCAATACGAGCTTGTATTTTGTTTAAATGCTGAAATTATTACTCTAATCATTATAGTACTTTTACTATTTTCTGCAAGTTTTTTAGACTCTACTAAAGTCTTTAATCATGTACTTGGTAGTTGGCTACTGTTAGTAGGATCTTTTGACTTTGCGAGGCTGATATAGTCGGCCTAATTTAGCCCCAGACCAGAGGACCCGCTTGATGTTGATTTTTCCGCGGTAAAATTTAACTTTGGTTTGTCTTCAAGCAAAAAATGAAGACTGTTATTGAAGGGTACCTTCATACATAGTTTATCTTTTCGGAAGACTTTCCTCAAGCTAATATTCATTTCATGACTTTTATGGTAGTCTTCATTGAGGTCGTGAACTAATACTGGAATAAAAAAAAACTTTTCTCATTCTAAAATACAATAGGCATATCAAAATCTTATATCTCCCAAACCCACTAACAGAAAACATTTTCTTAGGGATTAATGGTTAAGTTTCCAAGAGTTTTTCTTTGAGATGTGGATGTTCATCCGTAAGGATGCTTATGGGTGCCGTTTAATAAGTACTTCAAATTTAAAACTTCTATCTAATGCAAACAATGATTAGTCACATTTGTAGTTCGATTCCAATTGCCTTTAAAAATTCTCTTTACACTTCAGATGCATTGTCACATTTTTAGGAACACTTTAATAGTTGAAACGAAGTTTCTTTTAATGCAAACATTTTCGTACCTGTCTATATCACTGTGTTATGATTACTTAAATTATTTACATTATTTGGACTGTTATCCTCATCTTCATTGCGATATTCACAACGTTTCGGCCGTTGTACGCTCCGATCCTCCTTCAGGTGAATGGAATTTCGAATCGAACCTTTTTGTTTCGTCCATAGGAGTAGATTGTTCTAGTTCCACATAGGCCAATGGATAAAGACATTGCTTAGATTCAGTGACTAGACCCCAAGAGTTGTGAGTTCAATACCTAGCCACAAAACTTGAATAGCTGAGACAAACTGAGACATCTGGAAGAGGCATGGCACGTGGAACCTGAACAATCTATCCCCGTGGACGAAATAATGGGTTCGGTTCGAAATTCTGATCACCTGGAGAAGGCCGAACCGTACAACGACCGAAACGTGAATATCACAATGAGGATAACAGTTCGAATAATGTGAATTTTTGCACCTTTAGAAAGAATTAATATTTAGTGCGTTATGGACTATAGAAGTGTGTATTCAGTTCTTGGGACATCCCTCCCTATGTGCGGGTTTGGATGAAAAGTATTATACAAATAAAAGCATCTATATATTAATAGGTGTACTTGTAGTAGACTAAGCTTTATAAATGTACGAGTGTAATTATATGTATATATGATTGTTGTATGGATGGTCTCGCGCGCGTATATTCTAATCAATCCTCGATTGCTTGGTGGTAGAAATAGTTGCGTATTTCTCACCAAAGCTAGAGGTTTGTTTGAGCCCAGGTAATTAAAAAAAAAAAAAATGCCATGCTCTCTAATGCCGATTTTCAAGACAATCATGTTCGCCACACTTGGAAGATTGACGCAACACAATCTTCCTGTTTCTATTTTTCCCATTATTTGACTTGGTGCTCAGCAAAGCTTATTACGTGTCTTGAAACATTTTTATTCAACCAATTATTTTTCATTTACTGCTATGATTGCCTAAATTCTAAACCTCTGATATCCCTCCCACCCAATTCTTCCAACCACCTGACCTCTTCTTCCCGCTAATGGATATAACTTCCTCTCCTTCACATGCCTTCATCTAGAATTACGCCCCCTTTATAGGACCGGATTACTTCAGTGAAATTGCTGACTGTTGTCTATCCATGATGGTAAAGTAACTTTCTATCTCTAACTATCTATGTCTTTATCTCTCTTTCTCTCTCTCTCTCTCTCTCTCTATCTTTCTCTAAATATATACCTCCCCACCATCTGTTGACCTCTTTTTTTCTTCCTCTCTTGCTCCCTAGCTCTCCTGTGTTATCTGTAACCGTCACCACCTCTGCCTCCGCCTTTTCGTGTTGTCTGTTTATAACTGGTCACGCCTTAATCCTCCCACCGCCACTCGTTTTACCGTGTAACCATCCTTCCCTTCCTCCTCCTATTTTTCCATTGTTTATTTCATATTAGTTTTAATCAAACTATTAATAACAATAATAATATATTTTAAGGGGTGCTCCGAAAGTAATGCCTCACATTCCATGGACACGACAAACGATGTAAAAAGCACAATAACACTACTGGTTAAAAGATAGTTTTACCTACTAAACACTTCTTTCTACATAGCTTCAGCGCTCTTAGCTTTTCTATTTTTTATTTTATTTTTTTTTTTTAAATAAAAAGGCTGTTTTCGATTTGTGTGTTGACAGGTATAAATATTCAATCGGGATGTGGTTTATCATACCCATTGCTGTCGCCAATGCTAAAACTAATTACCAATTGGATAATTGTTCTCAGATCCATTGTTTGGTTTCCGTAAATCAAAAAAGTATTAATGAAGATTAACGGGTTCCTTTTTTCTCACTTTATTTTTGACGTACATCTGGATTGCATTTTCATGCCAGACACCATTTTGGTAGACTTCGTTTAGTTACTAAACAAAAAAAAAAGTTACTGGCTGAATGTCCGGCCTCTTGTCCAATACAGTCAGCATTCCTAGCTGACTTAGTTTGGGTTTAAGACCGAAGGCATTAATTTCGGTGCGACTGTCATACATGTAAAATAGTTAAACAAGTTATTTTTCCGAAACCTTTAATCTCAACTAGACATTTAATATATTAGTGAATAATTCTAAAATTATTAATCGAATAATCAATCATCTTTAATTTGTATTAATATCAAAGCTAAAACCTAGAAATACTAATCGAATTTCCTCCACAGGGTACCACATGGCGAGACACCTTTGCATACAAGGTAGGAGTTTCTTTACCCCATTTGGGCATTTAAGTATATTTCACATTCATTAAATTCACAATTAAAAAATAGAATAAAATAAAATGTTTTAACAATTCAGTTTCAAAATATTATGTATAACATTTGTAGATGTCACTAGAATATTCTATTATAGAGGGAAAGATGAATTGTCCATCACCATGTAGTAGCCTGCCGTCATTTCCTGAGAATACGTCGTATTCCATATTTTGTATTCGTATTTTTTATTACCTACACCTCTTCATTGTTCTATACGATGTATTCCGGAAAGCATCTAGCCTTTTTGATATTACAGACATAAATACACATGTCGGCAATGGCGGTTTAATGGCGTCTCCAAATTAGGATTCCACGCACTACTCTTAACGTCCATTCAAATTCTCAAAAAAAAAATATCATTCAATACGCTTTCAATTTGTAACACATATCCTCCTGGCGTCAGTTTAAACTGACACATTTTCCATATATTGTGGTTATTTTGCTTAGAGTTCATATTTTCTCGATTTCAGATCGAAAGTTGAAAATTTTCCAAAATATGTTGGTGAAATTTTAATTTGCTAAATTATGATCTATAATTATAAATTACATATATTGGGAAAAGAAGGCGTCAGTTTTAAGCTGAAACCAGGAGACTAAGTTAATCATGGCGTTTCGGTCGTGAATTTTAGGCTTTGGTAAAACCCAGGAGTTTAGAGGAACCAATTCTATATTGTTTGGTAGCTGAGGGCTGATACACCCCGATACGTGATGATATCTTTTCACAAGAAACAGTATACGAAACTGCGGTGATGGATCTGTGATAAATACAACAGTCACAAAATACTTAAGTCAACTCGATGGTCTGTCACAAATGAATGAGCAACTCCATGGGAGAGTTTCTGTTCACGTAAAATCAATGTGCATTATGATGAGACAGCTCGGTTGGTTTTCCATTTATTCGAAACTACTGGAATGTTTCAGGAATGTTCTCGTAAATAATTTGAGTAATTCACATTTTCTGTCATATAAATGAAACGATTAATCGGAATGTTAAAGTGAAAGGTATTTGAAGTCGTTAGAAAAATTAATATTTTCCGAGCGGATAATTCAGTAAATTCTCAAACGTATGTCTTATAAAAGAAGCTTCCATGATCAAATCCGAAATCATTTTCTCTTTGGACATCGCACTGAGGCGGTTTCTTCATAGCATTTCTCCGGTAAATAGCAGTTACATGAATACAAGCTCGCAAAAGCACTTAATACTAAATAAGGTCTGTGGAATGAACCTTGGCGGTGAAGTTTATCATACAGCGAACGATGGTTAAATTGTCGTTTAAATGATGAAAAAATGAAAATAACACTAATATCTCATTTTAACAGATATATTTACCAAAATTACACCCCAAAAATACTAAAGAGTAAATTTGTTCAATAAAATCGCCATTGGCTTAAGCCACGGCTGCCGCTTTGTTTAAGTTCGTGAATGCTACCATAATGCTTGCCTTTATTTCACATTTGGTTTTACAAGGAGTTTTGTTGATCTCTTGATCAACTGCGCCCCACACATAATAATGAAGGGGGTTGCAATCTGGAAAGGTGGCCAGATGTAAAAGGTGATGTGGTCGCAGAAATTATCTGACAGCCATGACTGGGTTCGCATGCTTGTGTGGCATGGTGCAGAGTCCTGTTGGACTTCCAGCCGCCACCCTCTTGATCCAGAACAGCACTACCTCCTCAAGACATTAGATGTAGGCCTCCGCGTTGAGTCTGAGATCCTCACCAAGAAATTCGGAAGTTCTTTTCTCATCAGAACGATCAGAGGGACTTTTACGAGCTACCTTACTTTCACAATCACCATTAAGCTCCTCCAACACTTTCCGAATCCTCTGCACTGACCTCAGATTGATACCCAAACAGTCTGAAATCGGAGCTTCTGGCGCGAGTGCCAAGCAGTACAGCATGACGTTTCCAAATTTCTGGTGGAATGAATTGGATCATGGTGCTCTTTGTCTCACAGATGGTGTCCAACTGACCCTACTATACTGTGCAGTCGACTAAATCAAAAACAAACAACGCGCATGAGTGAAATTAAAAAATATAAAATGACAATAATTTATCCATTGCACCTTTTTATATTGAATAGATAATTACTGACTAAACTTAAAAAGGTTAAAATTGTTATATTTGAGGAAATATCAACGTGGTAATCTTTTCTACAAAGTAGCAGCTGCCGAGAAGCTGCTTACCAATGGAATACGGAATTCAACCCTGTTGACTTAACAAAGTAGGTTTTAGATATAAAGGTCTCAATTGGTGATTGTAATAAACAGAGCCCGTTTTAATATTTATCATGGAAGTAGATAGGTTAGCAGTGTTGCGTTTGTGGTAATGGTGACGTAGTGAAGACACTGGCTCGATACACACAGGTGCATTTTATCGAGTATAAATATCAAGGCTTAGGTCTTAACGAGAGCTATTTGGAAATAGCCTTTTTGAAAGAGGCGTTATATGGAAGTGAAAAGACCTTAATCGAAATAACCGTCTTTCTCTTTAAGTCTCTAAAAGATATAATGTTGCTCCAAATCCCTACATCTGGACAAGATATTGTTAGCAATGTGTTATATTCCGTGCTAATAGGAATATATACTTGTAATACAAGGTGGATAAAATAAAGGTTTATCGTAAATAACCAGTACAATAAGAATAAAGGTAACAGTTATACACAAGGTCGTCGCAAGTCGGTTCAATAGTGAGTACTACAATTGAAAGGTCGGTAGTTCTCGAGTTAGTCTGTCATACTCAACAGATCCCTGCTAGAAATATTTACCAACAACGCGGGTAGGATGTAGCACAAGGCCAAATTTAATGTGGGGCAATCTGATCCCGTAGGCTCGACCAAAAATAAACGCGCATAAACAGGTTCGGGTGTGTCTACCTCCCCGGACGAGAGACTGTCTTTCGGCATAGACTCGTCCGGGTTCCTCTCCGCCTGAAGGCAGAGAGTTCGACAACAGCTAAGAGATGAATAACAGATACCAGCTATTATATTTATTGTATAAAACATACAATTATGGCACAAGGCTGAAAAGGGGAAAGGGACTGAGGTTGGTCTTCACTAACTGCCTTATACTTAGCTAATCCGATTCACGACCCACTCACTGGTTATAATTTACGCATTCACCACAAAAACACGTCACCAATCTTCCATACAATATAATGCCGCATCCTCTCAGGGGGAACTATAAAACTCACCCTGTGATAAAAAAAATTTAACGATTCATACACAAAAATCTAATGATTGACGATAAGAGGGGAGGGGATGAACTCCAAAACAAACTAAATATCAAAATAAACATTTTTTTGATGTTAATAGGACCCGTCCAACCCACACAAAATAGTCAGCTATATTCTGTCCTCACTAAGGGACACGGAAAGGAAAAAATATATACGGACATGGGAAATATATAAAGGTGACCCAGTCGTGATGAAAGGGGGTCCAAAACAAACTGGGGTGGTTGGGAATCTCAACTTGGATCATAACACAGGATATAGCCGGGAGCATACCGGGAACAACACTTACATTAACTAGGTACACAAAGCTTGTGTAACCTAACCAGGAGAGGGCTCTACAGGAAACCACCTTGATGTGAACTAGGCAGATCTAAAAAAAAAAAAAAATCAAGGCTAGCCTCGTTCACACGAAACGAGCTCGCCTCAGTTACCAACTTTACGCTAAAGTCTGTCGGATGCAAGCGTTTTCTATCAGATCTAATCTTCATCTTGAGCCGATGCTCAAAGAATCTGATCACATCATGATGAGAAAGACTGTTGCCTCGCAAGTCTTCCTCCTGTCGCGTCGTCCAAATCACTATTCCGGCCGTGGCCAGCAGCGTTAGAAACACAATTCGTTGCACCCCAGAATACGGGGGCAACACATTGTCACACGTATGGGCACGTGCTTTTCGGGAGCGATACGAGTCATCAACTCGCCGACATGGTCCCATAGGGGACGGACTCTAAGACAATGGTAGAAGGCGTGCGAAGCCGTTTCTTCCAGGCCAACGTCACATCGTTCACAGTCTGGTAAATCCGCCAAGCTCCATATGAAGACCTTGTCATTGAGAGCCTATTCCGAACCAGTCGCCAAGTAAGCGAAAACTCTGGGTTACTGAGGTAATATGCCGCTGGCGCCCAATACCATAAAGAACGAAACTCCGACA